GAAATATGCTATTTTCTACAAAATCAACCCAGGGTGTTGAAATATAATTGGCTCAACTGGCTTTGGGGGTTAAAAAAAACAAAACAAAGACAGACATTCTGGGACGTAATGCACATTTTTAAGCTTTCACGGGAAGTTTATCAATGGCTATAAAACTCTAGCTGTGCATAGAGCCCATTAAAAATGACCAAATATCGCATACCAGCATAAATACCAGTTAGATACCAGATAACTGCCTAAACTTACTGAACGCCATTTTGATTTATAGCGAAAATTTACTCTTAAAACTCCTCCTAGACCATTTCCCTGAATTTCACCAAATCGGGCTCATATCATCTTTAGACCCTACTGACTCAAAGTAATCAAACATTTTTTTTTGATAATCTAAACCTTTTTTGAATAATGTAACAATGAAATATCTTTGAACAGAACCAAAAAGCATATGAGCTTGTATTTCTGCAAAGCTTTGTATTATTTACATTTTAATATTTCAGAAAAATAATCTTAAAATGAATTCAGTCAGTTAATGCGTGACTTGACTTGCTCTCTGCCAAGCTTGCTGCTCATTCTGCCTCCAGACTGCTTGTTGAATATACGGGCTTTCAACCATTTTGCTCTCCGGAATGATCTCCTAAAATCTCTACTTTGTTGGTTTTTCCAGTTTCTCTTGTGCTTGCTGCCATGCCTGTTCTTTCTGCCTGATTGGCCCCTTTATTGCTTCCTGCAGCTATATTTTAACCTCTTATTTTGTTCCGATCTGAGTGAAGTGTTTTTGTGTAGGTGATTACATCTTTAGAGGTCTCTTGAATGCATCAGACTCCACTGTCAAACTCACAAGGGGAATCTAGCTTTAGAAAGACACAACAAGACATTCATAACCGTACAGTGAGGAATTCTAAAACTACCGCATTGCAGAGATGTGTGTCGTTGGATCCAGTTGCACATTAGTATATTGAGAGATATTTTTTATTTTAAAAAAATAGTCATTTTGCATTCATTGGACTGCACTGTTTCTAATGTGACAGTCGCAATCCTATCATTCTATATCATTCCATTCTAGCAGTTTTCCCCCACTCCTATAGATGACATTCAGAATTCCAGCATTAAGATAAATGTTGTTCATATAACAGCTCCGGTCCAAAAGCTCTCGGAGGTTCCTCGTCTCCACCAAAGAAGCTGTTGAGGTCTCTGCTATAATGCAGATTAATGCACCAGCCCAGACTATGTGCCTGGAGACATCAGTGATAATCAAAGAAAAAAAAAAAACTTTGGGATGGACAGAAAAAAAAGGAATGAAGATAAAGGAGCATAAACAAAGCTTGTTAATCACTATTGTTCTGCTCCCCCTGCCTTTACTGTATTGTGCTGAGTTAAATATAAAACAAAATAAACAAGGATGCAGTTTTTTGGTCTTCATCCAAGGTCTTAACCTAAACACAATACTCTTGTGTCACAATTGAATATTACCTGACCTGAATCTCTCATTATCAAGTGTGTGGTTATACATGTGAATGTACATGAGTGATTTGGTCTCTGCAGATGAATCAGTTTTAAGGAAAACATCTCGCCACAGGGATTGTGCATGAATGACAGCTGTAGGCCCTTCATTTGAATGTAGAAACATCCCCGTTTGTGTGTGTGTTTTTTTTAAGATAATCATGATATCTTTGTCTGCACGGAAAGGTTTCATAAATATTCACTGACCTCCTACTTCATGTTTTGCGACATCACTCGCTGGCATCCTCGCTTCTCATTTGCACAGCAGACTCATGCAGAGTTCATGCTGAAATGGGAGAGCCATTGAGATTCAGACATTAGATGTCATTATGATATTTTGAGCTCTTCAGAGGTGATCTGTACAAGTGCTGTACTCCAGTCAACTCCAGAAAAGGTTGTTTGCTAGCGTATAATCATTTCTGCAGGTGTTCAGATTCTGCTTTTGTTTTTCTGTGGGCTCAGGGCCTTCATTTAGAGCTGAAAATGATAGAACGCAAAAAAATAATAGCAGACTAAACAAAACGAGTTTTTAATGCAGTTAGCATACAGTGAACATTTAGAAATGCTCCGAATGAGTTCTGTAATTTCTGTACATTTATTTTTACAACGTTTAATAATGAATATTGTACCAAAGAATCTTATATATAACTGCAAATAATACAGTGAGCATTTAGAAATGTATTTATATAAAATATATTCTATATAAATATTTTTATAAATTTTAATAATGAATATCAAACCAAAGCAGCTTATATATTGCTGCAAATTATAGTTTATGAGCTAGACAAAAACTGAGACCTACACTCTAACAAAACAGAAAAATAAGACATTAGCCATTGTATTAATATGAAAGATTTTCTCATATTATTTTACTGTTTTACTTGTATTTTGAATTTTGATTTTGAAAATTAACTATTTTGTGTTGGCAACAGCACTGCCATATACAAAATTTTGACTTGAAGTTTTGAAAAATTGAATAAGGAAAAAATATTTTAAAATCCACTTTTCACCCAACTTACCAAATGCTGTTGCATTCAGTGTGCTAAAAATAAGTCACGGATTAGCCCAGCAGGCACAAAATAGATTCATGATGTCAGGTGACCAAATTTCAATGTCTATCCAGCGTCTAAGGACAACTTTATTTTGGCGTCCAATAATGGCATCAAATTATGTTGATATTTGGTTGATTTTAGGTTGTGTTGGAAAGTGACCAAAACTGATAAATGTCATAGCGATAACGTCCACACAGCATCAAGGTGCAACATGATTAGACATTGATTTTTGGTTGACTTTAGGACCTTAATGTCAATCCGATTTTCATTTCCAAACAAAATCTAACGCCCAACGATGTTGAGGTACAACGTCAATGTGACAACGTTTTGCCATCCTGTGCCAGCAAGGAGGTGAAAGCATGGATAATTACTGCATAGTCACATCATGTGATCTGTTTCAGAACAGTCAAATTACTGGCATCAAGCAAAGAAACATCTGTAGAGATTTCTGAAACAACTAAAATTGGATTAGGAACCATACAATGTGTCCAAAAAACTTGAATTATAGTGGGGTACCATCATATTTGAATTAAAAATGTGGTCAGAAAAAAATATTGAATCACATCAATCTCTGCTGAAATCAAATAATATAAAATAACAGTAGAATTAACAGCTAGGTTTTAATAGTGAACATGGAACACACGGGATTGAGCCTAAAAATCTCTGTAGTCTTAAAAAAAAATCACTTATCAGTGACCAGGAGCATTGGAAGAAGGTCATGTGGTCTGATCAGTCCTAATTTATTTGATTCCAGAATGATGGGCGCTTCAGGGTAAGAGGAAAGGCGGATTATACAAGCCTGTGGGCCAGTGCTGTGATCTGGGGATGCTGCAGTTTAGGTTAGGTCTATGATCTTCAATGTTATATGCCCAAATAATAAGAGCATAGGCTCATTCTGAAAAAAAGTAGTCCTATATTAATTTCTGGAGATTGCGAATTATGTAGCCAGAAGTATGCTCTATGGCTGCATTTTGTCTTTAAAATGACCGCTACGGGGGGTGGTATGATGCCGTTCCTTTTCGTGATTACCAGCTGACCGCTTACCTCAATATGGATGGCTTTCTCGTTATTACCAGTTTGTCCAGTTAGTGCGCCATGTATATCAGTGGACTTGAGACGCAGAGAGAAGTTGACTGTGGGGTTTGAGTCTGACAAAGAATGGTTTCAGAAAGCGGGTAAGACAAAAATAGAAGCCAACAAATAAAATAAACAAGTAAATAGTTATGTGAGAATGTGGTAAATCAGAAAACATGGTACAAATCAGGCGAGGGCTTTTCTTTTTCCGGATTGCTTTTGAAAACACTATTGGTTGGGCTTAGGAAAGGAGAAGGGTGGGTCAGTCTATCGGTCAGTCAGTCAGATTTACGCACAAACAGCAAGCGTGAATGGCACTCGCAAGAAAAATTTAAGATTAAACTTGACACTGAAAAGCATACACAGCTGCATCTGGTGGATACGTGAAAAAAAAACTGCAAAAAAAAAAAAAAAAGCAAGCTCCTGGGATGTATTTGGTGCTCTCCAGAAATGTATATAGCAGCACATTTTCAGAACGAGCCTGGGTTGAGTAATAAGGTTAGCCAGTACCTAAACATACTGAATGACCAGGTTATTCTATCAATGGATTGTTTCTTTCCTAATGACAAGGGTATATTCTAAGATGATAATGCCAGGATTCAGCAGGCTCAAATTGTGAAGAATGGTTCAGGGAGCACAAGACATCATTTTTACATATGGACTGGCCACCTCAGAGTCCAGAACTTAACCCTATTGAGAGTATTTGATACTGTTATAGCATATATTGAACATAATTTCTTTGGATAACTTTAAAGATATTTTTAAATGAAAGACAAACTCCACCCCTTACCCCCCTCCAAACACTGCTCTCTGATGCCCACTGAACCCTGCAGAATCAAAATCACTGTTTGATTACTGGCTCCACACTGTGTGTGCTGAATGCTGTGTCCTCCAGCCAGTCTCACCACAGGACAAGCATCTGCAATCCAGGACAAAGCTGGAGTTTCAACCGATTTTAAAAGAGGAGCAGACTTGTGAGAATACCTGTGATGTTGGTGGTTTAGTGTGCCTTCTCGACTGCTGTTCTGAGAACAGTTTCACTGTTGCTCCAATTAAAAAAAGCAAGGGAAAAGAATTGGGTTTTCACAGATGTTGGCAGAGCTGATAGTGAGGAGCATCTGGCTGCCGAGCAGGAGGTTTTCTGTCTGCCTGTCAGGTGAAAGAGACGCGGCACAATGCGGGGCTGGAGATGGTAATTACACCAAGCTCTTGAACAGCAGGAGTGGAAACATTCAAGTGTTTTGAAGCCACAGTTTGGGGTGAATCAGGATCTGTTACCTTTGTTGAGCCTCGTCAACTTCTCACATCTGTAATGTGTGAAAATGTGAAACGCTTTGATTTGATATTCTTACCTTCTCACTTTTTTCCCTCTACTAGGCTTCAGATCCATTTCACAGTGGCCATTGATTTCACTGCGTCCAATGGTAAGGATTTTTTTCTTACTGTTTGAAGTCCATGCAGATCTGAATCAGATTTTGCCTAAATTTATGATCCGTCTAACTCTGTTTTTTTAATCTCCAGGGAATCCTTCTCAGTCTACCTCCCTGCACTACATGAACCCATATCAGATGAACGCGTACGCCATGGCCTTAAAGGCCGTCGGTGAGATCATTCAGGACTACGACAGTGATAAGATGTTTCCTGCGTTGGGCTTTGGAGCCAAACTTCCTCCCGATGGCCGGGTTTCCCATGAATTTCCCCTGGTACCTGTTCCTAGATTTGATAGATAATGTTGATTTGCAGTGCTAGCTGGCACACATCCACAGTCATTTCTGAATGTGTGCCGTTCTTTTTATGAATACTGTTGCTTTTTCCTCAGAGTGGAATTTTTATATGCAATGTTGTTTTGAAGTGTTTATATAGTTTTTTGCACGTATATGTGGATGATATTGTAATTAGTAATGCTTGGTTAAGTCTATGTGTAATGTGTAAATAAGGCCCTCTCGACACTCCTGCTCATTAACGTCACGATGTGTGTATGCCAAACCCTCATCTCGTTGAGCATTTTGAGTCTCTTAATTAGTTTTTGCTCGCTCTTTCTCCTCCTATCTCTCTTCTCTTGTGCTGGAACTTGGGATTCATTTTCATTCTTGCTGCTTCACTCCCCAATTCTTCGGATATGACTGTCCTTAGAGCATGAATAATTATCTAATGATGAATCTTAAAATACTGAAACAGATACTGAGATCCCTAAGGGCGCCACAGTGGAGAAAGTTTTGACGGTGCGTTTGACGGAAATGAGTGTGGAAGGTTTTGAGTGTGCAAATGGAACTGTGAAAGAACCATTTTTTTGGTTAATGCCTTTTCTTGTGTCCTCGAAAAGCACCATTGCAAATCAATTCACTGATTTACTCAAATTCCAGTCTATAGATGCACTAAAAAAAACAAGTATACGGTATGTAAATACAGTGCTCAGCATAACTGAGTACACTCTATTTTGAAAATGAATATTTATAGGCAATGTATTTTGGGGCATTTAAACAAAACAGATTGATTAAACAGATATATTTATTAAATTAATATTTTAGTCACCAAACATATTTAGAAATCGAAAGATAATACAATTAAATTCCAACAAAACATTGCAAAAAATATATAAAAAATTACAACCCACAAAATTACAACAATTTTCTTTTTATTTCTTTTTTTTTTTTTTGCTTTTTTTGCTTTTTCCTCTTTTTAAATTTGCATTTTTAATATTTTTCTATAACATATAAGTTTGGCTGCACTAGTTTTTGGACTATTATTGTAAGTTATTTTGTTAGATAAGCTCCAGATTTGACTTTAGTACTGACTAATATAATGTATAAGCACAAATATAATATTGTATAGCTTTCTATTAAAAATATGAATTTAAAATATTTGTGAGGGGTGTACTTATATATGCTGAGCACTGTACTGTTGTATTTTCCTTAATAATGGCAGACCTAATCTACTGTTATGGCCTTGATAGTATTGGCATAATGTTGATTGATTTGTGATGTTTACTTTGAAGAATGGCAATGTTGATAACCCATATTGCAATGGGATGGAGGGAATCCTAGAGGCCTATCACGAGAGCCTGAAGACTGTCCAGCTTTATGGACCCACCAATTTTGCTCCTGTCATCAACCATGTAGCGAGGTAAGACAAATGCAGCAATCTACAAAGTATAGTGGACTCTGGCACATGAAAAAAAAAACTCATGCTGTGTAAACCAGTATTAAGACACAGTAGTGTGACAATGTCCAGTACTCAAAAAAGCAGAATGATGAGACATTTTAAAGTCATAGTCTTTGCTCAAGCAAGCAAAAACATTTATTGTAAGTCTGAAATATGAGATATAAAGTCAAAAATGAAAGCATAATGTCATAATTCATGAGAGAAAGATAGACATGAGGGTAAAAATGTCTTGTGAGAATTGTGAGATGAGTCGGTGCAATTGTGAAAAATATATCCATGATTATAAAATACAATTTTGCCATTATGAGAAACAAAGTCGTAAATCCAAAATACAGTATAATGTTGCGATTGAGAAAAAAGTTTTAACAAATCTGTAGTTGTGAGAAACACAGTAGCAAGTAGTTACAATTGTGAGATTCACTTTATTAGGTATACCTTGCTAGTACTGGGTTGTACCTCTTTTGCCTTCAAAACTCCCTTAATCTTTAGATTCATCAAGGTACTGGAAATATCTCTCAAAGATTTTGGTCCATATTGACATGATAGCATCACACAGTTGCTGCAGATTTGTCGACTGCACATCCATGATGTGATTCTCCGATTCCATTACATCCCAAAGGTGCTTTATTGGATTGAGATCTGGTAACACATTTAAATTCACTTAAATCACCTTTCTTCTCCATTCTGATGCTCGGTTTGAACTGCAGCAGACCAGGTGATTGGCTGATTAGAACTTTGTGTTAACAAGCAGCTGGACAGGTGTACCTAATAAAGTGTCCAGTGAGTGTATAATGTTCCAATTTTAGGAAACAAACCATCATTTTTGTGATTGAAAAAAAAATTGTGAGAAAAAATTCACAATTGTGAAATATAACTATATATGAGAAGAAAATTTACAACTGAAAAACAAAGTCAGAATGTAATATTTATTGTAATGTTCCAGTTATAAGAAACAAAGTCAGAGTAGTGAGAGATAATGCAATTGTGAGATATAATGTGAGAACTATGGGAATTAAAGTTGCAGTTCAAAGAAAAAAGTAGCAATTGTGAGATATAACTTCACAACAGAGAAAAAAGTTCCAACTGTAAAAAACAAAGCTCCCATTGTGATATATGGTGTTCAGGTTTTTAATAATCTTAACTGTGAGAAAAATATGTAGTTGCAATTAAAAGAAACAAAGCTGCAATTGTATGATTAAGTGTCAATTGTTAGATATAAAATCACAATTAAAAAAGAAGTGTGTGAGGAAAAGTCTGAATTGCTAGATATTAAGATGCAGTTCTGAGAAAACTGCAACTTTGACAAAAAGTTACAATTCTGTGGTTGTTGTTTCAGTTGTAAGAAACAGCCCCAATTGTGAGTTCTAATTGAGATATCATTTTATTGTCTTTAATAATGATGCAACTATGCATTGTAATTTAGCATTGTAATTGAAAAAGTCGTAATATTGAGCAGCAGTCATAGCTGCAAAATACAGTGTCGTAATTAAGGAAGTATATAGTTGTCATAGTTGTAGTTATGAGATGTACTGTACAGTCCCCGTTGTGCAAAACCACATTGAGATAATTGCAAGAAGATGTTTTGCAGAACAGCTCTGTGTTGAATTCTCAAGCCAGACCCAGGCTTCTGTACTAATGAACACTGTTGCTGATGTGACGCTGATTGTACTTATTGTCTAAACCAACAAGCCTAGATGATTAAACAAGCACCAAAGATTTGTTTCTTATCGTTGTGACCGTACGTGAACCTCCGAGAGGCCAGATCTCCTTCATAGCTTCTGTAAAGTGTTTTGCATCACAAAGAGCATTATGGGATTTTGATGAAGGCAGAAGAGCTGTGTCAATAGCACAGGGACGTCCCAGAGCAAATATATATATGCATGAGCATCAGCACTGAATACTAAGTGTTCAATGAGGATGCTTATTCTTTTATTATTCATCCGCAATGTTACAACACAAATGATGGCAAGCCAATTTAATCTTAAATCTACAAAATGTCAATGGGTATTGCTTTAGTTCAGGTCGCAATGCATGCTATTAACTACCTGCTTATTATTAAGTTATTTACTGTTCAGTGGTTATAAAGTATAATCTTATTCTGTATCCCTAATACCCAAAACCTAAACCCACCTTGCTAACTATTAATAATCAGCTAATTAATAGTTTGTTAAGCTAGTAGTGTTAGTTTGTTAATATTGTGAATTGTGACCTAAACTAGCATGTTACCTGTCAATTTTAATGCAACTATTTGTATTTTTTTTATTTAGTACACTCATTAAATATACTATAAAGGTATGAGAGCTGTAACTGGGGCTGTATCCTTTCAAAAGATACATATCTGTATCTAAAAGGTCCACTATTGTACTTCAAAGGTACATTTTAGGTACATTTTGGTACTAACATGTTCCTTTGTGGTACCAATATGAACTCTTTGGTTACAAATGTGTTCCTTTAGATAAAAGGTAAACCTCCCATACTTATATTTCTGAGAGTGTATGTGCTTATGCTTATAGTTATGCACTATTGTATAGTATAAGTAGTGTAAGCTGTGCACTGGCACTTAAAACTCTAAAAGGAATAAGTGCACTTTAAATACCCGGATGATGCACTTATTCAACCATTAAAATGAAGTGTGGAATGATAGACACTTCATACACTCAACGGCCACTGCTTTGCTCATCTAGCTGAAGGGGCGGAGCTTACAGGCACTGCTGTTGGATTACTTTATTTTGGATTGTAAAAGTAAAATTCTCCTACGAGCGTAATTATAGCACCTCCCGATTGCAGAATTATTATTATTTCTGCAGATTGTGAATGCAGAAATACTCATGGTAGGGATTATTTTGTTGTTTGGACATTTATTTTACTAATTTGGCGACCATCAAATGTCATCTGGGAAACGGTTTGAATTTCAGCTGAGTAAAACGTTAGTTTTAGATTTGGTGACGACACTACATTTACTATATGCTATGCTGTTGAGTGTTTAAGTGCATTAGTACATAGTGCATAATAGTGTATAGTGTGCTATTTGGGATGCAGCTTGTTTTTAGAATTTACAAAAATACTAGTATCTAAACTAAGTATTAGAAATGAATTTTTATTAGTATGTTTAAAATATGTAATAGTCAAAAATGTAAGTTAAAGCTGAATATTAATTGCTAAATATAAATATAGTCCATATCTCAATGACAAATTGCCATAGTAGGTACTATTATTTACTAGTCGCTTTTGAAAAATGTTCTAGGTCCAATAATAAGTATTTAATGAACAAGTAATAGCAGTGCTTCCCGCACATAGACTTTACTTGGACCGGCTGTCCAAGTATGTTTTGCCACACATTTTTGTTTTACTATAATTATATAATATAATTACCCATGACCAAACATCCGCGATTGATTAAGTAGTGGAAAAAAAAATCTTCTTTCGTTTACCCGTTTCGTTCTGTGTGCGTGAGACCTGTTAACACTCCCACAGACAGTCTCATGTGCTCTGCAGAGCCACAGAAACTCGCCTTATTGTCACTTTAGTAATCGTCTGGCCGGAGTTTCTAAATCTCCTAAAATTCGGCTTTTACTTTCGCTTGCTAAAGCTATCGTTATCGCTTGCATTTTTGCATGAGAGTAAGAGAAACATTAAGCAAAGCATTCTTTAAAGGACTCAGAAAAACTTTACTACTGTATATAGCCTACTCTGAGAGGATGAAATAACTGGTCTAAACTGACTGCAAAATATGTGTACACCATTTGCCATGGTTAATCAAAGCATTTGCCTAATTTAACCCTCCTGTCATGTTCCCCTCCTGCCCCTAGTGTTCCCGGTCAAAAGTGACCGGTGTGTTTTAATTGCTCTTAATTAGCACAAAAAACATTTTTCAAAACTAAATTTTTATTCAACATTCTTTAGCTGTGAGCAATGTCTCAAAGTAGTGTTTAACATGAATTTATAGAATTAGACATAAAATAACTTCAGTGAAAATACAAATAGTCAGTGAGTGAGTTGGGCTGGTGTACAGTACTACAGTATGTTCTATCTGATGGATTAATATAGTCTGGATACCCATTCATTTTTTATGGTGGTCACTTTTGACTAAGATTGACTAAAACACTCAAAATTCAATGAAAGAAGTGATCATCACTTTTATATGTTCGAATGCATAGAGTCGAGGATATCATAGGCCTTGAGGTAATCAGATGTACTGTAAAACACCATATTAAAGTGTGTTTTAAGTTGTAAATCAGTCAGATTTGACCCGAACACGACAGAAAGGTTAAATAATCTACACGTTTTAATCTTGTAATTATTATAATTTGTAGAGATATTGTCTGTTTGTATTTCCTTTTCTGTCATTTATTTCTCATTTGCTGTATATTTTATATACATATCTTAAGAGTGTGGGCATTCAAGTTTGCTTTGAACTTGAAAGAGAGAGAGAAGCAGATTTTAGCTGTCAGTGGGTGCACATGGCTCCTAAATAGCATAAAAGTAAGAGAAATAGTGGATTTCTATTTCATTTAAAACTTTTTTTTTACTTTAACCCATTAAAAAGAAACAGTGTAAATCTGTGTCATAATAAATAAAATTATTGTTCAAAATTAAATTCTGTTTTGTTTGTTGCATATAGCAAACTATTATTAATATTATAGTATTTCAATTTGGCTACCACCGCAAGTATATTTTAAACCTGTGGGAAGCACTGAATAATATCTAATACTAGTATCTAATTAATAGCATCCACAATTAATAGGTAATAGTACCTATTTAGAACCTATTGATAAGTTAACAGCACCAATAGAGTAAGCACTAGTAGATAATAAACATGAATAAGTATTTAATGGAAAAGAAACTAGTTAAAAAATAAATACTAGTTGAAAACAGATTTGTTTTTCTATTAAATATCAAAACAGCTTGCCATAACAATCATTAGAAGCCTCTGGAAAAGGTTTTCATTTTTGGGTTATGATTCATTTGGGTGATTTGGATCATAATGTTTTCTGCTAATATGTTTGATAATATGAAAAGTTGACTGTGTGTGTGTGTGTTTACAGGTATGCGGCAGCGGTTCAAGATGGCTCGCAGTATTTTGTGCTTCTCATCATCACAGATGGTGTGATTTCAGATATGGCTCAGACTAAGGAAGCCATCGTCAATGTGAGTTATCCTTCTCTTTCTAGCCTCAAAAACGGTTTATATCATCATACTGTGGTGCAGCATTGCATCACAAGTGCCTCCAGGCAAAGCCTAAGAAGAGTTCAGGTGTGTTTTGGGTCTTCCTGAGGTCTTCTTCACACCTAATGGGATTCGTCTGTCAGCGCTGATACTGTTACCCAGCAGACTGGATTTAAAGGGAATTTGCGACTGTTTAGTCACATTATTAGAACAGCCACACCTTCCTTTTAAGATCTTGCCTGCTGCTCTGTCTCTTCTGCAGCCTCTACCCATGATGCTCTTCCCTCATACGGTAACACTTCAGTATGAGTTCATGACTGAACGCTTCATGTGCCTGATTTATTCTTGTGCCCCGAGTATTTTTCTTTTCTTTATTGAAATCTGCTGTAAAAAATCCACTCTTTTGCTCTTTTCTGTTGCTCTTTTAAAGAGATTATGCAAAAACGAGCACTTTGAAGTATTTCTCGTTCATGCCCTCTCTCAGTCTTTGATTCTCTGCACTATATATTTTGTTCTGAGAGCAGCTGAAGTTAAATGTTGGTTCATTCTGTTATCTGGAAGGTCACTTTTTTGTTGTTGTGGTGGTGACAAATTTTCTGTGAATCATGGGAGATTTTTTGTACTTTAAAGTAAACAAGTGGTCTTGTTTTCTTGTAGAGTGAACATTAAACAACATTATTAATCGAAATATACACACACACACACACACACACAGTTAGGCCTATAAATATTTGAACATCGACACAATTCTAAAGTTTTAGGCTCTATACACTAACACAATCAATTTGAAATTAAACGAACAAGATGAGCTTTAACTGCAGACTGGCGGCTGTAATTTGTGGGTATTTCCAAACAAATCAGGTGAACGCTGTAGGAATTACAACAGTTTGCATATGTGCCTCCCACTTGTTAAGGGTCCAAATGTAATTAGACAAAATAATAATCATAAATCAACTTTTACTTTTTAATACTTTATTGCAAATCATTTGCAGTCCAATTCAAGTCTGGAGTGCATAGACATCACCAGACTCTGCGTTTAATTTCTGTTGATGCTCTGCCATACCTCCGCAAGCTCAATCGTATTCAGGTCAGGTAATTGACTTGGCCATTGCAAAACATTCCACTTCTTTCCCTTCAAAAACTCATGGGTTGCTTTTGCACTATGCTTTGGGTCTACATCTGCACTGCGCTGTTAAAGCACATCTTCTTCATTAATTTCAAATCCATTGTGTTGGTGTATAGAGCCAAAAATGTTAGAATTGTGTCAATGTCCAAATATGTATGGACCTAACTGTATATATATACTCTATATAAAGTGTGTGTGTATATATAAACAACAGTGCTGTCTGGTTTCAAATCTGATGTGCTGATAGCCATGCAATATTCTGCAATATCAGCACTCGTACAGCCTCTTCACCTTTGTGTATTACTCCGCCTACATAGAGTAACAGCAGATGAATAAACTCACTACAGTTTGACAAATATTGCAGCTGTTGGACAACATAATGTACTTTTGAGGCTTTTGTAGATGACAATAGTTGTTAAGATTGCAACTATGCAGTTTATTTATAGGGATAGTGCCTATTTTAAAATATTTATAATATTTTATCATAATTTAAACCATCAGCTGCCATTATGAATTGTGCTGTCAATTGCTAAAACAAAATAACTAATAAATCGCACTTTTAAAAAAAAATTATCGCAATTAATCACATTTAAAAGACTGAAATTTGTGATTTTGGCTATTCAAATGTAAAATTTATGTAAACGCAAGACAAAAACTATTTAAATTCAGTTTTAACTATAAAGTTTTAACTTGCAACACAGATTTCTTCATGTAAACAACATACCCACAATAAACCATCAAGATCCTGGCTTGACAGCCAGATTTATTACAGAAATAAAAACACAGGCATGTTAATGCGATTTGAATTTCAAAACAATCGATGCCAATAAAGTAAAAATTGATTTCCAAGTTGGATTTTAAATGGACTGCAAAAAAAATGGCAAAATACTGGCATTGCAAATATGGAAAATGGAAAATTATAATAACAATAAAGTATTGAATTCAACCAATTGCACTCATTGAAAAGTTGTATTGCTTTTTGTATTGAGTTGAGAACATTAATTATAAAGTAGAAACAATTTTGCTTAGACCTCCTTTACATTCAGCCAGTTGCTAAAACAGTCCAGGGAAACACGTCAAACTTAATAAAACATTGGAGGGCGCATGCTGAAAGGCAGAGGAATGTGCTGTCTTTGACAGCTTGCGACATCATCTGGCACTTCATTTACATGGACACCAATACTCTGATTTTAATATGACTAAGATAATACTCTCATTAACAGTCTACCATGTAAGCAGCGATTTTTGATTACCTTAAAGGACCACCGAGTCACGAAATGCGGAGGTTTCCGTTCGCCATGCGGTATCAAATTCAACTAAAACAAAAGGCGAAAGTTAAAAAGAAGCATACGAAATTAGATGAAACTCTGGAGGAAACGCGGGGTAGCCTGGAAATGTGACATTATCAAAATTAAAATGACTAGAAATAATCATGTATAGGGGTCATGTTTGCAAGGAATGTGTGAGAAGCTTGTATTAAACATTTAATAAATGTAAAATCCTCCAGCAGATGCGAGCATGTGTCGGAGTGAACCTAAGAATAAAGGCTGGAGAACAGGACAGGAGAAAACACTGTAATTCACAGAGTTTATTATAGGCTAGCTGTAAATGTGCCACATCACATAATTCACACTAATCTGCACTTATTTCAAGACCGAGAGAGGTATTTGGTGGAGAAAAAAGAAAGTAAGCAATCGAGAAAAGCAAAGACCTGCTGGAAACAGTGAAGCAGTGAAGACATGATGTGTGTGTGAAATGTGTTTGTTTGGACTCTATTTCTTTCAACACATGAGCGCTTCTGTCCCCCGTGAGCTTTTCCGCCAATGCTGACCTACTTACAACCCCATAAATATGTGTTTGTAATCCTTGCCCATTGGCACCAGGCACTCAGTGAGCTGTCTGTACAATGCACATGGACAGGGGTGGACGGCGAGTATAACAAAAGCAGCCCAGGAACAACACTAGCTAACAATAACGCCACAAATTAACACTCGATCTGCACTGGCAGGTTTATGAAACGGCGATACTTGGCTTGTTTTATTGTTTATAACAATGGCTGAGAACTTTATACTGTTGAAATAATGAACTAGAGTGTTGTCAGTGTCTTAAAGCGACGTGGTTTGCAGTTTAAAGAAAATGATTTAAAATGTGTTGTCAACAGAAAAGAATGTTTACATTTTTTTCTGTAGTTATTTGCCAGAATGAAAACTCTTTAAACTATTCAAAATTAAAAAGTAATTAAAAAACTAAAAATATTGGTCTAGTAATTACATTTTTTAAACAAGTGCCTTTATTAGTTTTACATTTTTAAATAATTATCAAACAACACACCAATTTAGAAAGCATGAAATAAGCATAATACAATAATAGTGGTAATAAATAAAAATAATGAATAAAAATAGAGGCAGTGATCATATTAAGCACTACACTGCTGCTCTGAATCAACATCATATTGGTCCAGGTGATCAAGGAATGGTTGCCATATTGTAAAACTTATCAAGGTTACCAATAACTCCAAACCAGAATCTTTCCAAATGCTATATTTGAATGAAATAAGTTAACCATGTCTTAAATTGAGGAATAGAATCTGATTTCCACAGTTTTGGATTAACTCTCTTAGCATGATTCATTCCATAAATTATTATTTTTTATTATCAAAGGGTCATGAAACCCCCTTTTTCAGGTCATTCACACTAAATCTCAGGAATACCCCAAGTATGAATTTGTCAAGCACTGTCCATCACTCACCATTCTGACACACATAGGCCTACTGTAAATGACGAGCAGCAGATCTACTGTCTAATTTAAAAATGTAATTCCAAATCATATTTTACAGTACAAGTTAATGTTTAGATTTCAAATATACAATAAAATGTAATGTGTACATGCAACTTATATTTCAAAATGTATTTAAAAATTGTATATGTACTGTATGCATAACATATAGCCTATTTCCATCAGGTATAAGCTACATTTTCAGGTTTTGATGAATAAGCTATTTAATACTTTAATAGTACAGTAGTTTTCTTTTTACTTTTTAAGAATATATCTACTTTTAAATTTTAATTAACTTTTAAACATTGAAGTACTTTAAATTTTTTTGTCTGCAAGCACAGTTAATGTTTAAACTATTTACAATGCTTAATGTGGCTGACAATAATACATATTCTTAATAATAGGAATTAATCTGCCATTTTTTAACTGTGCAGAGTTTTAGCTTCCTAATTAGGCCCACCACGCTACTGTATTTCAGTACTGGTCATTATGGTCGCACTTGGAGGGACTTTTTTCTGAGATGGTACTTAGAGAAAAAAGTTTAAGAACCACTACTGTAGATCATGGAAACAAACACATACGACCCTTCATGAATAGCTAAATACTGCTTGCCATGCGTGGCCGTGGTCTCACAGCTTGGCAGGTCTGTCATCGGAAAGCACGTGCTCTCATGAATAAATAAGAAGCAGGGTCTTCTCATAGGAAAAGTAAACTCAGCCATGAATAATAATGAGAAACTGACACGTCATCTCTGAACAAGCAGACAAGCGCTACATCACTGATTTTGACCCCGCCCAAATAATTATTTTAAACCCTGAAGATGAAATTAGCTGATACAAGCTCAAAATGATGCAGTTTTATCCACAATTAAAGCTAACAGGTGCCAACATGGTCATAACTAATCAGGGTTCTTACACGCTGGAAATCCTTGAAAATGCTTGATTTTTATTATAGTGTTTTCAATTGCTTGGATTTTGGAAAGTGCTTGAACCTGCTTGAGATTTGGGATCTCAAAATATATTTGGGAGCATATGTGCGAGTGCATAAATTGTTGTCGTGCGACCAGTTTTCATTGCAAAATGTTCACCGCACACACATATTTATGGAGCTAATAATAAGCCAAAACAATCTGAATTTCAATTGTGTTGAATTGAATTATTAACAGTTGTAAGTCAATAATACTAATTATGTCCTATTAGAAATGTTTTGAATTTGTATTTCTTAACTTGATTATTGAACATCTGAAATCTAAGACAACTTAATTTTTTAAGTCAGATTTTTATAGACATATTTTTATACTTCAGATTTTAGACTGTAGATATTGGGTATGTAAGAATACAGTTTTAAGTTTTAAGAATGCAAATGAACACAATACAAATTTAGATTGTTTTGGCACTTCATAAATAGCTTCATACGTATTTAGGAGACATTCACCCAGAATGCACCTATGCACTTGAAAAAAAAAAAAAAAAATAGCACATGAAACATCATGAGCGACTGGTTATGAAAAATTGGTACTACACCCAACCAAAATCTGACTGTCAGCTCTTTTCTTGAGATATCAACTTTAGGTAGAAAGAGACCAAACTTAAAAAAAATACTTTATCGAATAACTGAACTTTTTAAAATGTATTTATTTATTTTTTATCATTTTTGATAAAACTATCTCAATAAATCTATGCTCTAAAGTACTCAATTTAAGTTGAAATGTCATATTGGGTTTTTTAAATTAGCACATTGGATTTAAATGTGAAAAAGTACATACAACATATAAACGTAATTAACCATGGTTATTAGATGCTGGAAAAGCATACCGTGCTTGAAATTTGAAGTTGGAAAAGGTGCAAGAACCCTGACTAATGCTCTAACACATGAATCTGTTAAAATCTTTTTTTGAAAAGTACTCAGTAGACAGAGTTCAATAGAATTATAGTCTTTGATTTAATTTTTAGAATTTATTATGTAACAAATAAATATTGCAGTATTACAGTAATGTTATTATAGATCTGTGGAATTTTTATAATTGGATGAGATATTATTGATAATATTTATAATAATGTACGTTTTTTTATTTCTGTTTTAATGAAATAATGATAAACAAACACTGTAAAACAAACCTGTAGAACACAGACCTATTTCTTCCATTTGTGTTCACACACGCACTTAAATATGATTGTGATTGTGTATTTCAGAAATAAATACACATGCAGTAAAATCAATATAAATAAATCTATTTGATGTCTGAAATTCAGAGATAAGCAGTCAGCTGATTCTGCATTAGCTTTTTTTCATAATCTCCTTACACTTTGCAGAGTCCATATTTTAGTTTCCCCTATATATAAAGCTTAAGGGGTATTGAAGAAATCGATCTCTGAATTGTAGTAATTAATGATCTAAATCACCCAGTTGCTTTGATTAGCTCTCCAAGCCCCACAGGTTGGGTTTGTTTGTTTGGTGTGTGTGTGTGTGTGTGTGTGGTTTTTTCTTGTGATGTGTTTTTGTGTGTGGCCCCCGGTGAAATTCCAATTCTAACTCCATTACGGCTCGCAGACGTATGAGTGTGACTGAGAGTGTGTGTCCGGCCAGCTTTATTCCTCAAATTATTCATTCCCCTCAACAGGCTTTCCCTGGGAGCACTTTCCAAACTCAAAGCCTCAGGAGCCTCCGATATTTCTCTCATTATAGATCTGATGTATTAAAGGTATATTTCATTATCAGCTCTTCAGATTACATTTCACAGAAATCCTGCTTTCCCCTTGTTTGCGTTTCCCTCCTTTTACTTTGTTACTACCAGGATGATGTTTAATGCGTGTTACGTGCAATTAGTTTTCATTGAAAGTGCCGTGAAGTGGCTTTGGGGAGAAAGTGAGTTTTGTTTTAGTGAATATCCTGTGGTTTTCTTGTTATCCGCTGTCACTGGTAAGCTTGCTCAATACAGACTGGCTCTTTACTGCTCTGATAAAGGGGATTTGAGCTGTCAGTCAGGCTTCATATGGACAGCCAGAACAGGAGAGACAATGTTGATCCAGGAGAGTGTGAATAATGCATGGCTTTCACCTCACAGTATCGCGCCGTGTCAAAATATTCTTTTCTAAGCATCACAATCGAAGCCCCATCGCTCGTTCAGATCTGACCGGCTCAGCGTGTTCTAAAATAAAGCACTCATTTTCTGCTGCTTCGTAAACGCTGTTAAGGGTGGAAGGCCATTGAAAGTTTTGTGAAAATAGGTCCAGGTCATATTTGATTCCAAAAAATAGAAAGGTTAACAAAATGCTGTTGGGTTTTCGTGAGTCATGTTAAAATCTTATGAATGTAAAGCAGCAATATGATCATGAAATTGTGATGTATAAAAACGTTAATCTTGCATAATGAATATTACATATCAAATGGTAAAATTGCAAAAACATTATTAATCACATTATCACATCTTTATTCATGATATATAAATACCTTAACATGTGACCCTGAACAACAAGTCTTACGTTTCACATGTTATTGGCAATAGCAAAAATACACTGAATTGATTTAAATTTTTGGTTTTTATTTTTTTGTCAACAATCATTCGAATATAAAGTAAAAAGAAACAAATATTGTGAAATTAAAAAATGTATCATTAATATAAAATGCTTAGAAGGTAGGAAAAAAATAGGTCCTACCTTACTCAACCAGATGCTGAAAGACTCATTCATGCATTTGTCACTTTCAGGATTGACTATTGTAATGCACTCTTTGTTAAATGCTACCTGCTAAATTAACACTGCTAAACGGCTACAGTACATTCAAAACTCAGCAGCACGGATTCTCACACGCACTCCACCATGGCAGCACATTACTGGTGTGCTTTATAGCTTGTATTGGCTCCCGGTTCAGTCCCATATCATTTTGAAAACACATGCATATAAAGCTTTACATGATACAGCTCCTTCCTATATCTGTGACATCTCAGTATACACCTTCTCGCTCCCTGCGGTCTGCTGATACTCACACCCTTCAACAACCACCCTGTAGACTAAAATCAATGGGGGAAAGAGCTTTCTCTGTTGCTGCACCTAGGTTATGGTATGCTCTACCTTATTCTGTAAGAAACTAGCTTCCACACTAGCTAGTTTTAAGAAGATGCTAAAAACTCATCTTTTTAAGACTGCATTTCTAGATTCTTGATTATTCTGTGTTTATATTTTAGATCTTTTTTTATGTATACTTGTATTTTATTGCATGTTTGATTTCTCTATTGTTGTAGCGCTTTGGGTCTTAGAAAAGTGCATTATAAATAAAATATATTATTATTACTATTATTATTATTATTAAAAACTAGGGCTGCACGATATTGGAAAAATCTAACATTGCGATATTTTTTTGATTCTGTAATATACTGTATGTTGCAATACGAATACAATTTCACTAGATTAACTACTGTATTTGGAAAGAATGTATAAGCACAAAATGTAATTAAAAATTTACAATAGATTGTTACATAAAGAATTTCGATAAAGAAAAGTATACAAATGAAATAAACAGCGTATTATTGGAGTCTAACTGTTCAGGTATACAGTAGTTGAATAATCAAATGTAAAATAATATTGGAAAGTCTTCATTTTATAAACAATTTAATAAAATTGTTCCGTATAAATTTGTCAAAGTTATAAACGGTACAATTTCTTATGCCTAAATGCTTTTAAAACTCTAATACAGTCACATGCCTCAAAAAACACTTGCGAAACGATCATTGCATATACTTTCAATGTGACTATTGCGAATGATCACATTGCTGTATTGATGCTAATACAATATATTGTGCAGCCCTACTAAGAACCTAATTTAGACAACTTTAAATGTGATTTCTTCAATATTTCTATTTTTTAACCCCCAGATTCCAGATTTTGAAATTGTTGTTACACCAAATATTGTCCATCCTAAAAAACACACATCAAAGCTTATTTATTCAGCTTTAAGATGGTGTATAAATTTTAATTTGAAAAAAAATTACACTTTTGGTTTTGTGGTTCAAATCATACATTAATTTTTCTTTTGGCTTAGTCCCTTATTTATCAGGGGTCGCTACAGTGGAATGAACCTCCAACTATTACAGCATATGATAATACATAGTGAATGCCCTTACATTACAGGAAAATAAAACAACCCAGGCTCATTCTGAAAACGTACTGCTATATACATTTCTGGAGTGTGTGAAATACGTCCCGAAAGATACGATTATTTGCAGTTTTTGTTTTTCGCGAATCCGCCAGAGGCCATTGTGTATGCTTTTTGAGATCTTAAATTTCTCTCAAGAGTGCCATTTGCTCCTGCTCTTCTTGTGTAAATCCGGCAGAGACCGCTGTCGACTGAATGACTAACTGACCGATCGTCTGACCCACCCTCCTTCTTCCAACCCAACCGACAGTGTTTTCAAAAGCACAGATTGTCGTTGTCATACAACCCCGTAGCTTTAGTTTTAAAGACTAAATGCTGTCATAATTACTTATGGCTGCATAATTCGCAATCTCCAGAAACGTATATAAGGCTACCTTTTCAGAGTGACCCTGTGTCGAAATAAATAAATATATATGTGTGTGTGTGTATATATATATATATATATATATATATATATATATATATATATATATATATATATATATATATATATATATATATATAAGTATTATTGGTAGAAAATGTGAAATTGATGTAAAATTGTCATAAAAGTGGTACTACAGGTGCCACCACGTCCTTTTCTTATAGTATGACACCTGGATTTGATTTATGCATTCATTTCTTTTTTTATATATGTGTAAGCTTAAATTCTTGCATATTCTTAGACTAACAACAAATATGTCAGGTCATAATTACAGCAATATTTAATAATGTCAAATAGCCATTGTTGGGTTGTAATAGAGCATGTAAACTGTTTATCATGAGGTAGAATGCATCTTTTCTATCTTTTTTTTTTCTCCACAGGCAGCAAAACTCCCCATGTCCATCATTATTGTAGGAGTTGGACAGGCTGAGTTTGATGGTAAGAACTTTTGTAAAGACATTTTCATTATCATTTGGCAAATATCTCTATATCTTTTAAACATCTTCCATTTTCTCTTCACTTCATTCACTCTTTTTATTAGATTTTTATATAGTGCAAACATAAAATAAAAATGTACCACATAAACCTTTATTGCTTGTTTATACTGCACTCAGCATCTTCCTTAAAAGTTTCCAGTTCAGCTCCACTAAATGAAAGCTAATATTAGCGTTCCCAAATGGAGGTTTAAAACTTGTATGCGTTAACGCAACTTCACAGTTTGCTCTCATGTAAGGCAGAGTTTCTGGATGAAAAGTCACCTAATTGGGGAGGTTTAGGGTTTTGGACTGATAAGCAGATGTCAGCATGCAGATCTCACAGCTGTTCAATGTAATTAGCCTGTCCCACCATCTGCTTTTAGTATTTGTGTTTGGCCTTTCATAATGTTCCAGCATTGAGGTAAATGTTAGTGTCGTGCTGGGGCAGAGAGCTTCAGATTGACTTTTTATTTATTTTTCTTGGCTGGAGGGTAGATAACATGATTTCACTTTTTAGCCATGGTCGAGCTGGATGGAGATGATGTGAGAATATCCTCCAGAGGAAAGCTGGCAGAGCGGGATATTGTACAGGTACATTTCTTTCTTTCTTTTTTTTTTTGTTTTTTACATTTTGCAATCATTGCCAAAAATGATGTCCAGAAAATGTATACTCTGTTGACTGTAGATTTATTAGCCATATATAAACATAGTTGTGCTTGGGGAGTTTTAAACTTTTATATGTGCTTTGGTTTTGTTTGTTTGTGATAAACAAGGAGACATGCTTGATTAAAAATGTGCAGGACAATGATTGATAATTAAATACAAGCCAGAAGCAATGAAATGCCATGAAACCATGAAACCACAAGTGAGTCATTGAATTATTCACTTGAGACTGGAAATACCAGAACTCTAAAACTAATACAAAAACGATTCTTTGGATTTACAATTTTTTTAAGGTAACTGGTTGCAAATAGATTATATGGGCTGAATTTAAATAAACAAATTGAATTTAGTAATGTTCAACTTAATTTGTTTGTTTAAATTCAATTCAACCCATATCAGTTTTGTAAAGTCAACAAATAATCTGTATGATTTTTTTTTTTCATCATATTTTCTATAGTTTCTATTGAGATTTTAGAATTAAGATTTGCATGTCTTTCATGATATTATATGAAGTCATTACTCTAAAAATTTGATTTTTTTTGTTTTGTTTTTGATGTTCTTCTCACTATAGATGAGCTCTAAGTTAGACTCCTACAGTGCTTAATTTGTGAATTGTGTGGTCCTGGAACAGAGTGGGCTAACGAATCCGGCATGTTACTTGAGGATGTAGAGGTGTCGTGCACGAAAGTAGAAGGGGTTGTCATCGGCAAAAGTGAAGAGCGGGGGATGGATGGGCATTGGATGGCGGAGGGGTGTCGCGAACGAAAGTGAAGAGGGTTGGGGAGTCGCGGAAGAAAGTGAAAGTGAAAGTGAACAGCAGATGGGGGAGGAGGACGGTTGAGGAGTGGGATCGTTAAAATGAGGAATCTGGCATGTTCTGGCACAAATTTAGACCTGGGCTCCTACCTATGCCTATTAGGCTGTATTTACACTGCATGGATCAAGTGAATTCTGGCACAGATCTAATATGGCCCATGTAAGCGTTTGCAGGAAAAAAATCAAATGGATTCTGATTTACACAAATCAGATTCAGGCCTTGTTCATATGTGGAAATTTATCCGAAATTTACCACTTAAACAATACAAACTAATACAAAAGTATTGCATAAATCACATGCAAAAATGATGTCATGGACATGACATTTAAATGCCTGCTGTTTTAAAAAGGCCTAGATTAAAAGAAGATGGCCAAATGAGAACTTTTGTCATTAAAATAACTTGTCAAAAAGAATTTTAATAAAATAAAGCCCTGCAAACAGCTTAAATACATGAATGGAGTAAAGGGCACTCTTTTATTATCAGCTGTCAGTCAGTGCCCGCTCTTTTTCCCTGGTCGTGGCACGTTTGCCGTGTGCTGTGTGAATACAGACAATCAAATACTAGTTTAAAAGATAATGTAAGCCGGTCAGCAAAAATAGTGAATACAGTCACAAAACTGACCATCAAGATCTGTAGTATAAATGCAGCCTTAGTCGGCAGTTCATCTCTCCATAGCAATTCCTATAATCTGTCTTAGGCCCTAACTAAAACCAGGGGAGTTCTCGAGACCTTGCCCTTCAAACGGGAGGTAACCCCGGGCTCGAGGATCTACTGAGCTCAGGGCTTTCTCCCGGGACAGCATGCCAAACACACTTTATTATTAATCATCAGCTAAGTGTGAAATCTTGAAATTAGGGAGTGTGTGTGTAGTGTCGAAGTACTATAACTGTCTGTAGAAGTAAAGCAATAAGTTTGGGTGACCTACATTTACAGGCATCTCACATTTAGAGAACATTGCAACATCACACAAAAAAAAATATCTCAAGCTTACAAACAAGATACTGTGTTCAACCTATAAATAATAAAAGATTGCAGAGTACTTCTGTAAGACAACAGGGTTCAGTTACATTGTTTACATTGGAAATTTCTGTGTAGTGTGCAAATATGACAGTGATTCAGGGAATAAATAAGCTCCTTCAAGTAACAATTATTGCATTTTTCTGTTCCTGCAGTTTGTACCATTCAGAGACTATATGGACAGGACAGGAAACCATGTCCTCAGCATGGCACGGCTTGCCAAGGACGTCCTGGCTGAAATCCCGGATCAGTTAATCTTATACATGAAGTCAAGGGGCATCAAGCCCAACCAGACCCCGCCAGAGTACAGTCCACCTGGGCTCAGCCCGACTTCCACCATATGAGTTTACCCAGCCGGCCGACGGAAAACAGGCCATGCTTGTTATGTCCCCTCCAATTTGGATCTCATTCAAAGCCAATACGACTGATTCAGTGTGAGGCGTCTAGAGGAGCGGATGGTTTCAATTCTCCGATTTTGGATCTAATACACTGGAGAAATTGAAAATATATCTGTGTTCCGGCCTTTGAACTGAGAAGGGTTGCAAGTGAGTTTGTTTCCCCCTCTTCATAAATTAGCCGACACTATGAACAGATTTATAGCTTGGATTTGATTGTGCTGAAGAAGACCTTCGCAAACAATGCAATTTTTTTTGCTTATTTAGCATCTCGACATCTACAGAAACGCTTGTGTGTCAGCATGTGAAGACTGTGTTATATTAGGGAAATCTTTCTATATCTTTTGTATGCAGCAGAGGTGAAAGAGACCATAGGAAGAAATAATTGTTTGAAATATTGTATACCCAATATGGGTAAACTATGTAGTGAAATAGTTTGTAGAGTTATTTTTAAATAGGTTGTGTTAATGTGGTTTTATTTTTCCACTGGAAAAATTTTGGGCAGTTTATTTTTAGTATAAAGTAATTTCCCATTGCAGTTTCCCATTTATAGCTTTTAAAAGCTATGATAAACAAGATTTTCTATGCTAAAGCATGACACCCAGGTAAAACAGATGTACATTGCATTATTACATTGTATTTAGATTAAATATTTATGCAGAAAATCTGCTATAAAAGTCTAAGAGAAGCGCATATTTTCTTAACGCTGTAATATTTGTAAATGTTAACCAGACAGAAATCTTAGATTCATTACTCAAACTGTACACAGACGGAAATTTCAGGCACAATCACCCCTCAATAATGTCAGATTTGCTTCTTTAATTTGCCCCTCCATTCCCTCAATGCTCTAGAGCTGCTATTTCTTCATATCATTCACACACGACCCATCAGGGGGAAACATGAGGGATGCCTCGCCGCTCGCTGCTAAAGATGATTGGAGATGAAGCAGCGTCTGCCGTTTTTCTAATAGCTCTGTCTGACTCCCCTGCCCCCCGTGTCCAGCCACGCTGAACCTCTGCCCTCTCATTCCCAAGATTCTCCCTGGAGTTTAAAACACTTTTCTATTCTTCACCATGACAGGAATTATTTCGGTGGTTTAAAAAGACTGCATGCAGCTGAGGTTGCATTACATGCTGAGCAAACATAATGGCATTTCGATTACAAGTTCTAGCCTTGGATTAGTTCTAGCATTGGCATAATAATAATAAGATGCACAAACACAGATGATTTGCTAAAACTGCCTTAAAGTAAGTTTACAATAATGGTCAATATCAAGCATAAATTAGAAAGTAGTATTTTATATGTTATTACTAGGGAAGTGCATGCTTATTACCTAACTTCAAAATTTAAATTACATTTAAAAAAGTCAATATTTACTCATTAGAAACACTAAAACAGTTTATGCAGCCTCTTTTTTCCAGAGGTCCATTTTGAAACTCAATAATCATCATTGACGAATGTGTATGTTTCAGTAAATATTGACTGTCTTGCTTTTTTGGACAGCAGGGCTGTTTGTACTTGTTCTTACCCACAGTTTTGATACATGTTGGTCATGTGCTGTAAATTTTAGCATATTTGCTTGTTTGAATTAAGAAGTTCTGATGTTTTGGTTTTAGTACATGCATCTGTTGCTGTGTTTCTGTTTGAGAACTACACTCACAAGCCACTTTATTGAGACTGCTTGTTAACACAAATTCCGTATCAGCCAGTCACATGGCAGCAACAATTAGGCACAATCTGGTAAACTGAGCCATAGACTTTCATTCATACGCACGTATATACGTCAGACTGGAAAACGCAAGCTTGTATGACAAGTTTTGTAGTTCGCTGCATTGGAAAATTCAAGCTATGTGAACTTGGACCTGCGAAATCGCATCACTTGGTTGTGTGAGACCAATTGAAGATCAAAACATGACCTCTCTCTACAGGAATTTCAAACATAAACCAATCTCTCGCTTTTTAAATGTCTAATAATCCTGTTTAATTCCACCCCTTTTCGCAACGCTGATCAACAGAATTTCGCAAGCTCAAACTCTAGTGTGACCGCAGTGTAAGAAAGAGAAAGAACAGTGCTGGAACCAGAAATGGTGGTCTGAATATTTGAGAAACCACTTGTTAACTGAGAAGTATGTCCAAATTCAAATGTAGTAACTACTAGAGTAGTATGCCATTTTCAACATAGGCTCATTCTGGAAATGTAGCCCTATATACATTTTTGGAGACCGCAAATTATGTAGCCAGAGCTACTTATGGCTGCATTTAATCTTTAAAATGAATGCTTTAAAGATCCTGTTCCTATTTCTTGCTTACCTCCGTATAGACGGCTTTTCTGCTGTTACCGGTTTGTCCAGTAGCTCCACATGTATGTTGGCGGGCTTGAGATGCAGAGCAGACTTAAGCGAGACAACAGGGTTCGAGTCTGGTCAAGAATGGTTCCAGATAGCAGGTAAGACAAAAACAAAAGCCAAAAAAAAGCCATTTTTGGATTGCTTTTTCCCAAACATTTTTGGAGTTTAGGGAAGGTGGTGGGCGGGTTAATCTGTGATTTTTAAAACACCATTGGTTGGGTTTACTGAGGGTGGGGGATCGGTCGATTGGTCAGTCGGTAAGCCAGTCAGTCGACAGTGGCCTCTGGTGGATTTACCTGAGAACAGCCGGTGCGAATGGCAAATTGGAGAAATTTGAGATCTCAAAAAGTATACACAGCAGCCTCTGGTGGATTCATGATAACAAAAACTGCGTAAAAATACGTAGCTCCTGGAACGTATTTTGCACTCTTCAGAAATGTATACAGTGGTACATAATCAGAATGAGCCTGGGTTGGCCATTTTGGACAAAGCTTCTGCTTTTCTCACACACTACAACTATTGGACAGCTCCAAGTCGTCTTCAGCAGTTGACATATAACCGAGACTCTGACAAGAATGACTTTCAAGTCATCAGTTCTTATTTTGCAGAATCTGTCCACTGCTTTGAACTAGTTTTACCACTTGATCCTCCTGTCAGTACTCATGAGAAATGCATCTCCAGAACCATACCTCAGTTGTTCAGATTGTACCTCTCTGGTAGGTCCTTCAGGTTATTTTATAGGATTCCAATTCTAGCCACCGGGTGCCTCAGGGCTCAGTTCTTGGGCTGCTTCTCTTCTCCATCTTTATGATATCACTTGGATCTGTCATTCAGAAACATGACTTTTCAGGACACAGCTATGCTAATGATGTCAGCTCAACTCTACCTCTCATTTCAGCCTGATCTGACAACAGCTGCTTAAATTTCAGCATACCGGACAGACATTTCTCATTGAATTCAGCTTCAATTCAATTCAGCTATATTTGTATAGTGCTTTTACAATGTAGATTGTAAATAAAACTCAACTTTGACAAAACAGAACCGTTTGTGGTTTCAGCTAATACAAGACTTCTACAACTTCTTCTCTAGGACAGGAGTGTCAAACACAGTTCTTGGAAGTCAAAGCAGAATCTAGTTCCAACTCTGCTTCAAAGGACATACGGTACCTTGTAGTTTTCATATAAGCCAGAAGGTCTTGATTAACTGGATCAGGTGTGTTTATTATGATTAAGTTAGAAAACTATAAGCTAGGTACATCAACCAGAACTCCTTCCTCAACAGACAAGATGCTTGGAGCTATAATTGATGATCAGCTGATCTTCATAGACCACATTGTTATAACTGCCTGGTTTTGCAGATTTGCTTTATACAATATCAGGAAAATTAGACCCTTCAAATCATATTCTTTAAATTCTCACAGGCCTTCCAGTCAGTGCTTTCAAACCTGTGTAACTCAGACTTCAGCAGCAAGGGTGGTCTTTAATGAGCCGGAAAGAGCACGTCACACTTCCTTTCATCAGTTTGCACTGGCTGCCAATAACCACTCACATCAAATCAAAGGCATTGACGTTTGCCTAAAAAAACCCACTGGCTCTGCACTCATTTACCTAAATCTAGTACTTCTGGATTATTCGCCCTTCAGAAGCCTGGATCGTGCAAGTGAATGGTGCTTTGTTGTGCTATTCAAAAGAGGTACATAATCACTTTCACAGACTTTTTCTTGGACTGTTCCCTGCTGGTGAAATTATGTGCCCGACTGAACCCCAGCAACTGAAATAAGTCTTTCTTAAAAAATGCCATCGAGCCATTTTATTAAAAAAAAGCTAAAACACATCTTTTCTTTTTTATTTTGTTTAAATTTGATACTATAGGTTGTTTTCATTCAGGTGGTTCTGGTGATGCATTGAATTCAGATGGAGGGCAGGAAGTAAACACTGAATGGGAGACATAGTGGAAGGCCCACATTTGTGCAATTTATACCATATTTCAAAGGAGATATAAATAGAAAATAACCATGTATGTTGGGCACAATCCTTATATTATGAAGAGGGCTGAGTTTTCTACTAAACTATAATATATTTGCCTGTGTACAAGGCGGTTGATACTGTATAAGCTATTACGGTACATGAAAAATACTATAGTAAATAATGTAGTGTTTGGAAGCATACTATAGATATTTACTTAAACTGTCTTAGTAATTATACTGTTGCTTTGGTAAAACACTACAGTAGTAATAAATAAATTATTCAATAGGCTTTAGTTTTCTACGCTATAATTATACACAAATGCACCACATTTTACACTAACGTTAGTATTTATTACAATTTATCAGTTTGCTATGCTACATATTCTGTAGCATTCGTTAACAAAGAGTTGTACACATCATACACTTTACTATGTGCTTTAAAAACATGATTATTTTAAATTACTATAGTTTTTCTTCCAGACATCATGAAATAACAGATACAATATCAATAAATAACATACAAAAGTGTGGACGCATAGTCTACATTGTTATTTATTTATTTTATTTTATTATTTATGCACTTCTTTTTTGTTTGGTCGACAAACTTAAGTTACCATCGACAAACATTCACCGCT